CATAAAATGGTAGTCATATTTAGTGGATAGGGGTGTCTACGAGTATCCATGCATATGAGTAAATGTTGTGACCCCCTCGTGCAGGTCATGATTAAACATTGTGTTATGCTTCTACAAAAGCCTTCCCCCCTATAATCCCATCACTGATATGCAAGCTTGCATACGTAGACTAACTACACTATCTAAGTCATACTCAAGTATTTCTAGCCTGTTTTCTCTCATAAATATAAAAAATGTGCTGTATTACTCTGCTATGACAATGTTTGCTATTGAAATGCCTGTACTAGCTGTCATGGCGCTACAGGCCTGTTATGTTTTCTTATGCACAAGAAAAATAAAGAATTTAAAAAAAAAAAACCTTAACTTGTCACGTCTCTTTTACAGCAGTGTAACTTCACAAAATAGTGTCTAGGTCATTCATTTGGCATATTGTTTTACTCAGAAGACTTAGTTGAGCATAATTTGGGGGGATGAACTTAGTGGCACATATGAAATGTACAAAATGCCCAGCAAAAATGTAATCTGTATGTAAACAATGCCCCAAATTATTTTTTACCACATACTTTGGCATATATTGGTGAAAAAAATTGAGGCATGCTAAGGCACAATATGCACCATATGAGATACCCTACTACTTTTACAAATGGTGGGCCTTTGTGGGGGTTTTTTGAACAGTTAAACTGCTATAATACCCCAAATAGGCCCATTTAATCTGCCTCTCAAAATTCTACTGTAAATGTTGAAACGGACAGGTCTCCTATACGGCACTGTAGCTTCATGAAATAGTGCCAAAGACATACAATGGGGGTATCGTTGTACTCAGCAGAAGTAACTGAACACAAAATAAAACTTTGTACAGGAATAGCACACACCAAGTTTACAAAATACACATGAGAAGTTCTTTGTTATAAGTTTGTGTGCCAAAAAAACAAAATTTTACTCCAATATTTAGCAGAGATTGGCGGTGAAATGGCTACGTAGAAAGTGTCAAAACAACCTTAGGACAATAGCCTGTGATGTCTACTTTATATAAATATATACTTTTGTGTGGCAATTTTGTTTTCTTTTATGGCTATTAAGCTTACAAGACAAACATACCAAATTCTAAAATCGCTCCACATTAAAAGTTTATTTTACTCCTTGTGCTTTGTGACCTGTAACTACCAAAAAAAACTTAAAATCCCAGACACATTATATATTCTGTAAATCAGAACAACTAAATTAATTTATATTTAATTACTTTCTTTAACCTGCACTAATTAGGCACACATTATTATTGCAAAAACTGTAAAAGAAACACAATTGTTTTCCTTTTTTTTCCCTTTTCTGTAATTTTTTAATAATAAATAAGCATTTATATATATATATATATATATATATATATTACATCAAATTAAAGCCCTTTCTGTCCTTTAAAACACAGTATATAATATGTGTCGGTGCAATAAACGAGAGAGATGCAAATTGCAGTTGAACGCATATAGCAAGAAAATGCAAAAATTGCTTGTGTCATTAAGCGTAAGACAAGCTTCTGAATCTGTGTCCTTAAGGGGTTAAGTCTATCAAGAGGGCAGGGAGAGAGAAAAAGAAAAAAAAATATTCCTTTCCGCAGGGGCGCCATCAGAAATTGTGGGGCCCCTAACACAGCTCAAGGTCTGGGCTCCCAAATCCCGCCCACAGGAATACACACACACAGACACAAAAGGACACAGACACACAGAAAGATACACAAACAGACACAAATACTGAAACAGACATACATATAGATACATACACAGATACACACACACACACACTGACATACAGACACACACACTGTTGTACATACATACTCACATACTGACACATACATACTGACAAACAGACATACATACAAATTGACATACAGACATACATACACATAAATATATACTGACATATATACATAATGGCATACAAACATATACATACATACATACATACATACACACACAGACATACACACAGATATATACATACACAGATACACACAGACATACTGACATACACACACAGACATACATGCATACTGAAATGCATACTGACATACATACTTGCAGACATACACACATACATACATACATACATACTGACATACACACAGACATACACACTGACACACACACAGACACAGATATACTGACACACACACATACACACAGACATACACACACACAGACAGACAGACATACACACACACAGACATACATACAGACATACATACTGACATACAGACAGACACACAGACAGACACACAGACATACACACAGACATACACACTGACATACACCCAGACATACATACACACTGACATACACACACACACCCACCCATACACACTGACATACATACTGACATACATATACACACACAGACAGACATACAGACAGACATACATACAGACATACACACACACAGATATACATACTGACATACACACACACAGAGACATACACACAGACATATACACACACACACACAGACATACATACTGACATACACACACACAGACATACACAGACATACATACTGACATACACACACACACACACAGACATACATACACACACACAGACATACATACTGACATACACACACACACAGACAGACATACACACAGACATACATACTGACATACACACACACACAGACAGACATACACACAGACATACATACTGACATACACACACAGACATACACACACACAGACATACACACAGACATACACACAGACATACATACATACTGACATACACACACACACACAGACAGACATACACACAGACATACTGACATACAGACATACTTGCAGACACACACACACCTCATTTATCAGCCACCCTCCTCTTACCTTTAAGTTGCAGGAGGGTGGCTGGGGATGATGGGAGTGGATGCCTCTGGTGTCCCTGTCCTGTCCTCTCCTCCGCTCTCCCCTCGCGCGGAGTAAGCTGGGAGGAAGTGACCAGCCGTCACTTCCTCCCAGCAGCACTTGCGGTGTTTAGCCTTTTTTTTTTTTTTTTAAAGGGGCCCGGTCGCGCAATCACCCGGCGCAGCGCTGACCGGGCCCCTGAAGATACAGGGCCCATCGGGTGGCCCTAAATGCTTGGGCCACCTGGTGGGCCCCGGTGCAGATGCATCTGCGGCAGTTTCGCCGCTCCACATGGGGCCCGGGCGGCCGGGCCCCCAGGGCCACCGGGCCCGTGACAACCATCACGGTTGTCACCCCCTGATGGCGGCCCTGCCTTTCCGTTCCCTTTTCTTCCCTTCTTGCCCTCTTCAACTTCATTATAAGTTAGGAGTCACTCTTCTTTTTCTTGAGCCCTTTATTATGACATATCTAAATACTTCTTTAATTCCTATTTACCTCTTAAATAGGATTGGATACATCCCAGACCTATATATCATATAAAAACTGACTAATTTACTAAACACTCAGGTATCCTCTATTTTGTATACACAAGTGACTGTGGGTTGTTGTTTAGCATTGACATAAATTGCCTTGATCTTAATTTAATCATCCGATAGTCGTCATCAAAATACATATGGACACAGAAAATCTCCCTCATTGGATTTGCAAAAAACAAAACAAAACAAAACAAAATCTCTTATTAATTAAACCACTTAGTGACAATTATAAATTTCTTCCTCTCTCGCCCTCGCGCTCTCTCTCTCTCAAATATATAAGCATATGTTTCTATCACACAATTTTAACAAAGTCCAAGTTTGATTAAGGCAATCTATAGAATTTACATACAGCCGTCAAGTTTTTAAGTTTATTTTCCATTAACAGCCTTTTTGAACCCTGTTATGCCAGAACCAGCCCAGAGCCAACCTGTCCCGTGTCAGCCAGTCTCAAGTCAACAAGCTCCATTTTAGCCAAGTCTTCCAGCCGCTACCCAGACAACCCCATGACATGCAAAGCCAGAATATAAGAACTAAGGACTTTGTCAGCATTCATGATATGAAAGAACATCTGTGTGAATATAGATCACTAATTTAATCAATTAGCTTTTTAAACTGTCTGAACCTGGGCCCTAGGCGGCCCCCTTGTTTGCCTAACCGGTAATCCAGCTCTGAATTAAGTCCTTGTCCTAATCAGCCAAATAACCACTAACATAGAATATGAAACAAAGCTTAACACAAAATATGGCACATTGCAACACATGTTTAAAGCCAAACAGTGGTGGGTAGAATATACGGAAAGGATCAAGATAGAGGAGGACAGGGAACCACGAAAATCATAGCAACATTTGGGATCGGGGAGTAGGGGAAATTTGGGGCACCAAGTCAGTAGAGGCCGAAAATCAGTGTAGAATTAAGAATGCCATATAACAAACAACTGCGTGAATATTCTTATATAGTTCAGGCAACGGAATGCATACACCAGATAACAATCCCATCAAAGAGGCTATACTTCTGCAATGTTAACGAAGGCACTGCGTTGCCAAACATGGTTTATTGTTCAAACTGCAAATGTATTGATGTCGTACCCTTCCCTTTCTTTTTCTGTTCTGTACCCAAATTGAACATCGGAATCTGCAAATTATTGACAACTCTCCCTTCCTTCTCTTGTTCTGTACCCCAATTATCTGAAAATTCAATAAAATAAAAAAATCAATTGTAAAAAAAAAAGAATGGCACACATTTTTTTGTGACAGAGAAATTAAATAATGAACCTCTTCTTGGAGGCAAAATTCATTTTCTTAGGTTATCTCAAAAAAGAGAAATTCACATTGATAATTAACACTTACATTGCATAGTGATAAAAAAATTATATACAATTTTAATTTCATTATTATTAGTAGTAAAACAAATATATTGCTGAATAAATTACTTTGAAATAGTATTGTAGGATATGAATATCCATTTTGCTCTATATCCTAACTGTTCATGTAAGGGTTAATTTGAATCAAGAATAAATTTTGAATTGTATCTCATGTCACAATGACTTATCTATTTACGGGAGATGTTATTGGAACATGATTTTGTTATTTACATGACATGACATGACATGATAAGGATTCTGGAATGACCTTGTTAATTGTCCAAGATTTCTGTATTTGTAATCATCTGGGTTTTATCCAATATGCATACATTATGTAACATCGAATTATAACTAAAAACAGCTGTTTATAACTTGTGAAAAACAATGTCATTGTCACGCCCATATGCTCATTTTTCCCCCTCCCATCCTGCTATGAAAATGGGTTATAAATATAACTGACGTATGAATACAATTTGAATTGGTTATTGAACACGTCTCTGCTATTCATTTCCAATTTCCAGAGCTCTGTATGAGTTGGCAAATATCCATCATCCACAAAGGGCCCAGGCTGATTTTATCCCCAACAAATTGGTGTCAGAAGTTTGGGTGCAATTAGGAACGGAGTTGCAGGTAAGGGGGTCTTTAGCCCCTTGGGGACACAACTTCTGGAATTTAAGGGTATCATGACGGAGTATTTCTGTTGTGTGTCCTTAGGGGGTTGGGGACCTTTGCCTGCTTCTGCCATCCTCCCACACATTGCATTTCTTGTTTTAATGGGGTTTTTCACTATTTACATTTTTAAAGGGGATTTTCACAGGATAATGTCTTTGGTAGACATGGTATTTTGTTAAGTCTTAGGTAGACTTCTATTACTCCACGGGTTGGAGGATTGCCTTTGGTAGGTAGTAGTAGTTATTGTGCACATTTCCTCTTAGGTAAGAGGTTCACCTTTGGCCAGGTGTTAAAAATAATTTCAAGCCTTTGGTAGGCTGTGATGTACCTGTGATGTACATTTACATATGGGAGACGTCCCTAGATCCCTCTTTGGTAGAGGTTGCCTTTGGTAGGTTGTAAAACAGATTTCCAGTCTTTGGTGGACTGTGGTATTTATTTAACGTAGATGTCAATTTGGCAGACTAAAATGGTTTAAAAAAAAAAAGGGGGTTAAAAGGTATGATGGATGTTTGGCATTACTCCGGCTTGCTAATTTATGTGCTATTTTATGATGTGCAACGCTGATTTTAAGCATAAAGTCTTAATTGAGGGAATGTCAAAAGTACATGTAAAGGTGATGATGAATAAGAAAAAAACTAGAGGTTATTTAAGGGGGCTACAAATTCTAGAACTAACATGATTTCTCTGCATGTATGTTTGTTTGCATAATGAGCCCCTTATTTTTATACTTGGACAAAAGTACTATAAGCCCACTACACTTTTTCATGAGAGTGGGATGTATGATTGTTTATATGATGAGCCCTTTATTTTCATATTGGGACAAAAAGTCACTTCATTCAAAACGTCAAACACCACATTCTTTCTGCCCTGAGTGTTTGTTGCAGAGAACTTATGTTGTAAATTTAGAAGATTATAAATTAGAGAGCAAAATGTATATTTTCAGCGTTCCAAGACATGCTTCATATTGTGCTGTAAGCTAACTTGTAGTATTCCAGTAAGTCACATGTTGTATGTGCTTTAAATTGTATGTATTCTGTAAATTATTGTATGGGGTTGCTGAGATTTTATTGCTTGCGACCCAAACTGTGAAGAAGTGGGTTTGAAATTTTGGTCATGGAATGTAGGATCAGAAAACCATGGACAAAGGTTTTAACCTGTGTTGATATGACTTTTGGAAACTCAAATTGACCGGTCAAAATTTTGCCATGCCTTTAACATGGAGTAGTATAAATATTTTGAGTCTTTGAGAGTTCTGACAAATGCAGGTGATACCATGTCTGTGTAATCTGGTCCAAATGTTCTATAAGCGTATAAGAGAGAAATTCCATTGACAGGTTTCATATGTCGCAACTGGTTAATGCAAGTGTTATACAAATGTTTAAGTCAAACGTGTTATATGGCCGTACGGGATCCCTTCTTTAAAAAAGAAAAAATAAACCCTTTGGTACCAGAAATCTTAAATAAATCTGATACAAACTAGAATTGGTATACCTTACAATAATATGTTCTGAATACAGCTGTTAGAAGTTTATTCTGTGTGAATGATGATTGTCATAAATGTTTGTTTTGGTTACTCATTTTGAAGTGCGCAGTTTAATTGTCATGTATGTTAATGGGTATTTTACTGTGTTATTTTAAATTATATTTGAATAAGTTTGTCTTAGTATTGATACAGATGAAAATGGCAGCGTAATAATCTATTAAATAACTGATTTATTATTGAATACTAGTCCAAGAGCAATATGAGTTGTAGTCTTAAGAAAGAAAAAGGAGGGAGTCTGTTTTTGTAAATTTTAGCTGATTTCCAAAATTCTGTTGCAATAATGGACTTCCTGCCAAAATTTGACTTTTCCAGTTGCCAGGTGCTCTGATCTAATCTTAAAGCAGTACTGCTTGCATTGTTTGCAGACATGCATAATGCACAAACATGAGAACCAAATTATGTCTGTCACATAGTGTGACATTTATTAATTTATTTTGGATTGAGTTAATTGCCTGTCCATGAATATGCTTTTTGTATTGGCATGTCTGCTGGATATCTGCTACATGTTTTCTGTGCTAAAAATGAAGAATATTTAAAGAATATTTGCATGTCATTAACGCAAGCCTTTAGTGTCTTTTTACAACAGATTAAAAAAAACGCTGATCAGCCAACAAGAAAGGGGTCCCTGGGAAAGAAAAAGAAAAATATATCATTTGCTTTTCAAAATCGTGGATCCACGTTTCAGTATTATTAGGGGAGTATTTAGAGTTAACGCTACTTTTAAAGTGCATTGCATTATTTAAGAAAAGAAAAATGTGTTACGTTATATGGTTATATAACAAGAAAAATTATGGATGTATAGGATAGGTTTTTTCCAAGATTAAGATTCATCTAGTATGCCTCATTGATTATAGGAAAATGATGAAATGGTATTTTAATAGAGATCAGATAATTTCTTTTGAGGCAATTCTAAACTACTGTATTATATTTGTATTGGTATATTGAAAGCATTTTGCAGACCCAGAAGAGAATAAATAATATAATAATAATAAAAGGAACCATACTATGGGAAGAGGTCACCCTATTAAATTGCTAAGGGGTTAAACTAATTTTGATAAGCATATAAAGTTTAGTTTTTGTGGTTAGAATTTTTGATACTCAATTTGAACTCAATTGAAGTATTAAAACCATATCCTTGCAGGTATAGGAAACAGCTGCAATATGATTTAAATATTTGCAATATATTAGTGTTCTGACAATGGAAAAGTTCCTAACCGCATGTCTGTATTACACCTATGACACAGACTGTCAGTATTGCAAACCCTATGTGAAGACTCTGCTTTCACTGTTTATGTATACACCCCTAGACCGTGCTATACAAACACAATAAATCTTCAAAAGCCTATTAATATTATATCTGTGTGGTACACAAATAGGTGTACACAAAGAGGGGGTGTGAGTTAAGTCATCTCGACCTTCATATGGAATATGCTTCCTCCTTGTTCACTTTTGGTCAAACTGTTGGTCTGTGACTGGCCCTCTTTGAACTGAATTTTTTGGGAAGATACATGAGAAAGATACAGCAGGTTGTTTTGGATATAAAGAAAGAGGGAAAAGTATGTTGTATCGGTCACAAAAGGATTGTGATCTTAAGCAGGCGAGACAAAGAAAGTTTGGAGGCGATAGATTGAATCAGAAAAGTTTTAGAGGCAGAGGTAGAGAATTTGATCAAAGGATTTAACTTTTGTAGAGATGGTAACTTCAGCACTGTTTTAATTGTGGGTAGCAGGGATTCACCCCAAGGTGCTTGTGTTCTCCTGGCCCAGCTGGCATTCAAGGACTCCCACCCTGGCAGGTTCCTCAATACCAACCAAAACTTTCAAGCTATACCCACACCCAACAACCTCAGCCTAATACACAGATGGTTCATGTTTTTAATACTTTATATATAGTTTTGATAGATAAAACAGTATTAATGCTGGCTCTTAGAGGATGTACAAGCTGAAGTTGGGACCTAGACATTGTTTGCATAGGCTGTGCAATGTGAAATAACTAAAATAAAATAGGATAATAAGTATGCTTAGTCAATTTGTAAAGTGGTATAATAGAGGCATCTGCAATAAATTAAGTGGGTTTCCAAGACCTGACAAGTGAGAGCAACTTAATATAACATATGTCTACAGTTTGCTGTCCCTTCCTTATCAGAGGCCACTTGCAACTCTTCCTAAACCTGTATTAAACAAAGCACTTTAGAACAATAGTAATTTATTTTGTTTCTCCTATTTCATTCCTAGTTGTTCTGAAAAAAAATATATTGTTTAAGTGGGATAACTGTATGGAGGTTCCAACATGTATTAAAACATGATCACACACATCGGGATCTATAAAAGGTTTTGGTTTCCAAAGATGTTATCAGGGTCCACAAAATGTTATTAAAGTAATTAATTGAGATTATCAAATCAAGGTTTAAGTTTAAGAACAGCATTTTATTGGGAATTATACCAATATGTATATGTTAGTGTTTTAGTACTCAACAAGCATTTATATAGAATGAGTGCTTCTCTCATCCATACAAAGGCATTTTAAAGGGAAATTATGTATTAAAATTTTATAAAGGACAAATACAAAAACATAAACATAAAGGACATAAACAAAACTGAGAGACGTACATGTTACACTAGTTAAGAGTTTAACTTTAGTCTCTAATTTGAGTTTAGCCTAGATAATTAATTTATTGATGCCGTACTGATCCTTGTGTTTGTATGATTATAGAGACCGTACTGGAGTATTTGTGCTGCCTGATATTTGGGACCGCACACCAATCTCTCTGGCTGACCTACCTTTTTTTGCAATTAAATCTGTTTGGTCAAAAACCATGCTGGCCGAAGAAACTGAGATGCTTAGTTATGAGGACATAAACTAACTTGGAAAGTCCTGAAGATGCAGTGCTGTCTAATGCCGCTATTTCTGTATTACCCTTTCAACAATTGGGGTGTTGCACAGAGTATTGTGGTGAACATCCAGCAAACAGAAGAATTAAGAACTATGTGGAAGCTGACATTGTCTTGTTGTCAGCCATATTGCTACCCTTAGCTATGTTATGGTGTCTAAGATTGTGGAACAAAGTTTATGGTGTCTAAGATTCTTTATACTCCTTGAAAGACTTATAATATTTTTCTGGACTATGCTGGACTATTGAACTATTTTGTTATTTTTATTTTTATTTTTGTAGAGTTAGCCAGAGAGAGAGGAAGTGTTAGCTTACTCAGGCATGGATGTACTATGTGTGTCATTGATGTATGTTGAGTGTACCAAGGATGGATTCCAAGGTATTAAGTGTGGATATGACTGGACTATCGAAATAGGGATTTGATTAGGAGGCATAGGATGCAAGGTCATGATTGGGATTATTGCTAGAATTGCAAACTGATTAGAAATGATCTTATGATTTAATATGTAAGTGGGCCTTTTCAAACTAATCAAGAAGTGTTTCCCAATCCCGATACCTGAGCTATTTACTTACATAGTGCAGGTTTTATAAGTCACTAATGCTGTCAACGTGAGGGGATGACATGTTTACACAGTCATGGCCCTCACTTAGAATTTACCCAGATGTGCTTTTTTTCTCAATTATGGGTTTTTGCCACTGGGATTTTTGACCTGGCCCAAGTTCACTGGGTGGACTGGTAATCCAAGACCCTGGTCCAAAGAGGGGAAATAGATTTTATTCCCATTTTTGATTATATGTGTTTACGTTGTAAATTATAGTAATAATATTCCCGTTGTTAGGAATAATACACTTTGCCTGTTTTGATCCAAGGCTCAAGTTACAGATAACATGATGTGCAGTATGTTTAAAATTGGTTAAGATGTCAGCTGTTTGAAATATTTAACTTGTACACTTAAAAGATGTGTACAACAGATGATTACAGAAGCTGAAAATCGACAGCTCGATCTCCTCTTAAAGGGAAAACCTACGGCATAGAGCAAATGGGGGAAATCGAGGTGAAGAAATAAGGAAAGTCCCGCAGACGTGATTAGCACGCCTGAATATACCTCCTTTCGTTTCTCTGCCGCAGGCCTCCCATGGATATTCCATAAGGTAGATCACGATATGATCTAAAGAGAGGAATTGTAGGATATGAATATCCATTTTGCTCTATATCCTAACTGTTCATGTAAGGGTTAATTTGAATCAAGAATAAATTTTGAATTGTATCTCATGTCACAATGACTTATCTATTTACGGGAGATGTTATTGGAACATGATTTTGTTATTTACATGACATGACATGACATGATAAGGATTCTGGAATGACCTTGTTAATTGTCCAAGATTTCGGTATTTGTAATCATCTGGGTTTTATCCAATATGCATACATTATGTAACATCGAATTATAACTAAAAACAGATGTTTATAACTTGTGAAAAACAATGTCATTGTCACGCCCATATGCTCATTTTTCCCACTCCCATCCTGCTATGAAAAAGGGGTATAAATATAACTGACGTATGAATACAATTTGAATTGGTTATTGAACACGTCTCTGCTATTCATTTCCAATTTCCAGAGCTCTGTATGAGTTGGCAAATATCCATCATCCACAAAGGGCCAGGCTGATTTTATCCCCAACAAGTATAATTACCAAATAATAGTGACATACAGTAAAGTGCAAATGTGTTTTGCTTTATGATCTAACTGACCTCACCTTATTGATTGGGGAGATGCTGAGTCCTCCCAAAATCCCACAATGTTATATTCTTCAAATATCTTGGAGAACAATGTAAGGGACACAAAGGTCATGGTGAATCATGAAATGGTGAAGCAATTGAAGGGGTTTGAGGGTGGAACATCTGTCAAAAGGGATGTGAAACAATGTTGTCAATCTTGAAAAAATTATCCCAAATATATGCATAATATAATGACATAATCTGACATCTCGTATCCATTAGTGAGTATAAAAGAGGCTGCGTTGTGGAGAAAAGTCAAACATTCATTTATTGTTACTCAATTTGGATTTGAACAGGCCAGTTCAAAGTCATGTCTGGAGCCATAGGTGGTCAAAGTCAACAGAATGATCAACCAAAAGATGTCAGTTATTATGAGAAGCGCCATCAAGAGGACACAAAGAAGGATAGCAGTACACCACAAGGTAAGTTATTCACTATGAAAAATAAATAAATAGAAAAATGGCTTGCATTAAATGTTTTTTCATACCTGATACAGTTGCATCTTAAAAGAAACCTGTATGTCTTTCGAGTTTTTAATGTATCTTGGTTTTTGAGCAAAGATGTCAAAGTATGTCCCTTAAATTTTGCAATCTCCCTTTGTTCTGAAGGTTTGCCTCTGTCATAGCTATGGATACGATGTTTGTTTATGGCCCACCATATTGTTTTCAGATGGAGATACTTTGTAGTTCCATACTAATTACTGGACTTGAAACGTGAATTCCCATTGGACAGTTGACTTTATGCATTTGAATTTAGACATCACAACAAAGTCATTTAGTTGCATAAATGCCTTGTCAGCTATAAACAAATTTGGCTATGGTCGTTGGAATATTTAATGCAATGAAAGCCGTATTATAGACTCAAGGTCTCTATATAGCTTGACAGGGGGCTTTTACGTTCTTTGAATTAGTGCTTTTAATTAGGATCAATAAAGATCATCATTTAGATCACAAAACAAGAAAAGCAACTTCAGTAATGGGATAATGTTAGCACCTGAAAACGCCAGAAGAATCTTGGATAGTTTACTACTAATATTCCTCTTATATAATGCTAGGATATGGCTCCTGAGTATTGGTTTATCTTTTTTGCTACCTTCCACAGGTGTCTTGTGTTCTTATGTTTTTTTTTTAATGTTTTCGTAATTGTTTTAGTGACTTTTATGTTAATGTATTGATTTAAATGTTCACCAATTTATAACGCACGTGCAATACTTTTATACAAAATTAAATATGCACCTAATAATAGGATTACAACTTTTTGATCTCTGTTTTTGATGTACTACTATGCACATTAAGGATAATTCTATTCGGGAATTTGTATATGTGAATATTCTTGCTTAAAATCAAATAAAAATTGAAAGTGGAAAAAAATATATA